GGCTTCATATTATTTTTCAACCACAGGAACTGCCTTTGAATTTTATCAAATTTATTTTGTATTCCCCTTCGCATCGGCAAAAGAGATATAAGGTAAACTGGGAGCCTGTTCAATGTACCTGTAATCAAAGTAATTTTACCACCCAAGGACAATAGTTGTGACCTCCAACTGTTAAGCTTACTTTCAAACCGTTTCACGATTGACCTCTAGATTTTAATGGAGTTATGACTAGCACCCAACAGCAGCCCTAAATAAGTTGATGGAAGTGTACCTATTTTACAATGTATGGAAACCGCCCATCTCTCTAGACGGTAGTGCTCAATTCCCACTCCAAATAAGCTACTTTTGTTGAAGTTTATCTTCAAGCTAGAGATTAGTTGAAAGCATCTTAATACACGTTTAGTAATCAATAAACTCTCCAATTTAGGTTGACAAAACAACAATGTACCATTTGTGTACTGGAGCTAAGATGAACGCATACCTTGATGACCAATTGGAATGGCGTCACATATACCTTTATCCACTCGACTGCTCATCATACATCTAAACACCTCTGCTGTCATATTGGATAAAAATAGTGATAATGGACAGTCTTGTCTAAGTCCTCTTTTCAATCTCACAGTCTTTGTTGGAGACCCATTTACCAATATAGCTACTAATGCAGTGGATGCACACTCCACAATCCAACCTCTCCATTTCATACCAAATCTCATCTTCTTCATTGTAAAATCAAGAAAACTCCAATTAATGTTATCATACGTTTTTTTTAAATCCACTTTAAACATCAAACCTCCCACCTTATTTTTTTTTGCAATAAATCGATCATTTTATTAGCAATCAAGGCATAACCAAGAATTTGTCTTCCCTTGATAAATGTAAAGTGATGATCACCAATGAGTTCTCCCATAATCTTCTTCACCAATGAGTTCTCCCATAATCTTCCTCAACGTATTTACCAACAATTTTACAATTATTTTGCATGCACTCTCCGCCAGGTTAATAGGTCTATATTCAGTCACGCAATAAAAATTCTTAACCTTAGGAATTAAAGTTACCAAAGTTTCATTAATCCTATGGCCCAATTTCCCAGTTTGATAAAATGAGTTAACGAAGTTCATGACCTCCTCTTTCACAATCTTCCATTGAGCTTTTGAAAAAAGTGAAGTTAAAACCACCAAGACCAGGCGCTTTATGTCCATCACACTTATGAATAACCTCTCATACCTTTTTTTCTAAGAAAGCACACTCCAAATCTAACACCGCTTCATTTTGATAGTTCTCGAATACCAGAAGATCAGTCTGCTGACTTAAGAGTTGTCCTCTCACTGTATAACTTCTTGAAGTGTTTCTCCATTTCCTTTCGAATCAAATTCGATTTCTTCCACAAGCTTATTTTCAACTTTAAGCCTGGCCACCCTGTTTGATCTTTGTCTTTTTTAAGTCAACGCATAAAAAAGCTTTGTATTTCCATCCCCTTCATTCACCCATTTATGCCGTAATTGCTGTCTCCATACAAATCCACTATCTTCTGCATAACAATATCTCTTTTTTCATAATTACCTTTTGACATTTGCCATTCTAATTCCAACTCATGTATGCAATTCAGATTTTAACATCTCAATCTTTCTATGCATGTCACCATATTTATTCTTCTGTCATTCTCTAACCACAAGTCTTAGTGACTTCAACCCTCTCCAAATTACCGGGGCATTACCATATCCAACCTTAACTTGTTGCCAATTTTTTGCAATCAACTTACAAAAACTCTCCTCTTCCATCCAGTGATAAAACATTTTAAATGATTTGCGTCCCCAATTAAATTCCTCCCCCCTAAGTAGTATCAGATTATTTTCTAACAAAAAGCTAGGAATACACTTTTGAGTCATGTCTATAAAACAGTTTAACCAATCACTGTTAATTAGGAATCTGTCCAATCTTGAAAAGGACGTCTCCTTCCTCTTACTGCTTCATGTAAATTGTCCACCCACCATAGATTAATCAATCAATGTTGCTTCTAAGATAAAATTTGCAAACAAAGATGCCAATCTAAGATAGTCACTTCTTCCAACCCTTTCCTCCTCCGTTTTGATTGCATTAAAGTCACCACTCACATACCATCACACATCACGTTTTCTAATTTCATTCAGAAGGACCTGCCAAAATTATGCTCTACTAGTCTCATTTGATGGTGCATATACATTTAAAAATGTACATCTTTTTGATAGTCCTATCACCCATCCCACTAATAAAACAAAAATTATTATGTGTCCCACGTTCCTCTTCACTAAAAAAATCTTCTCGCCATATAGATATTAACACTCCAGATAAACCTACAATATGTACACTACACCCCTTAGTCCTATTTTTATACCAAATTGATTCAAGCGAGTATATAATTGTTTATCTTTCAATGTTGTTCCTGTAAAAACACTATCCTTGGGTTCTCCTTACATATGACCCTCCTCACAGACCTCCGCTTCTCATCTCTACACAATCCCCTACATTTCATGTAAAAATAGTCATGAATAATTAACCACACATACACCCTATCAACACTGTATAATCAACTGTTCTCCTCTTCCTCCTCTAATGTAACCACAATTTCGATAAAATCCTCTTTTGACTTCACCAAGGTCATTCCCATAATCTCGCTAACCTCCCATGTTTTTCAGTTTCAGTTAAATTGGATTCCAAGAGATATGGTTCCAATTCATGAGTATTTTCTTCGCCAACTTCACTGTCATATTTATTTCTCCTTTACACCATCCAAGCTTTTGGGTACTGCAATTTATTTTTGTTAAGACCTTTTTCCCCTTTCGATCCCCCCTCCTTTTAATCACATTACATTCTTCCCCTTCTCCCATCCACCATGCAGTTCTGCTTCAAACAACTCCATACTAGTCGTACCATCCTCCTTCTCCCCTGGACTCCATTGATGAGAGATTATGTTGACCTTATCCACCCCTGATAGCCAAGGGATATGCGGTTTATCAGCTGTTTCGATTAATTCCCACCTACCCAGACTTGGGAATTTTGCATCAGGAGGACAGATACAAAGAGGAGTTCCACTTGGACTCGGACTATTAAATTGCTTGCCGTACTTTCCTTTGTTACGCGTTATTAGAGCTGAAAACTCTCCTGTTCTAGCTAGCAAAATAACACCACCCGAATCAAGACACATTAAATCTCCAGAATCCTCCTCTTGTTTACCATTTTCCTTGTCCCCTTGTAACTGTTTTAGCTGATTTTGTCCCTCATTACTTTTATCTCCATCTGACTTTATAGGGATACGATTAATTAATTAACATTAATTACTAATAATAACATATGTAAAAGAATATAAATATTTCCAAAAATTAAAATTTATTCAACAAAAAAAAGTTGTACCTAATGGACATGGTATGCCCAACTTTCATGAAATTTGTGATCTCCTCGCTAGGCATGCAAATTGGAAGCATGCTTGGGTGGTTGTTCATTTTTGGCTTAATCATGCCATCCTGTGACGATTGTTTTTGATGCCAATAGTTACGTGGCTAGCATTCAATTGAAGGTTCAGTTCTTCAGCCTTGTCAATTACTGCATGTCGCAGGAGGAGAGACAGCGGCAGGCCTCAACTTGCTTGCATTGGTCATTATCTGCTTCAATTGTCAATACCAAATTAAAATACATAAAAATCCATGCCTTTTTATATGACTCTGAATGGTCAAATTTGTGCTCGAGAGACTATGAATTTCACCTCAAATCCAAATAAGTGGTTCACGTTAAATAAGCACGTTTTCACTTATATTTTCAATTATCATTTTTTGATCACTGTGAGAATTGTTGCAAGTTTTCTTATATACTAAAATTTCAAGTTCAATAAACTAAGATTTTTCTTTCTAACAAACGTTCAATTAGTTAAGTTAAAATAAAAATTATTTTATTTTTATCAGATAAATTTACGTTTGATAAACTCAAATTCGAAATAGCATCATTGTTTTTTTTTTTTAATATTTATCAGCTAATATTGTCGGAAGAGGAGCACGTCGATGACGGGGTGAAAAGCACGAATTTAGAGGCCCACTCAATTTATTGATGTTAGTTGTTGTTGATAAATTATCCGATTCTGAAGAACCTTTCACTCTTACAAGCTGCCTAGTTCCTGTTCTTCGTCAAGGTCTTGTAGTTTCTTTCTCTGATTTGGCTTTTACTTGAGTGTCCTGTCTCTCAAGTCTGAACCACCGCGATGGAAAATTGCTGTCAATCCAACATGGTCCTACCCCAAACCCAAATGACAATGCTAAGATAACTAATTGATACGTATGTGCTAGTACTACTTGTAGAGACTGACTTATCCCAAGTACATTAAAAATATATATAAAAAAAAAGTAATTATAGATTTCAATTAAAAAATGAAGGGCCAAATAAATAATGATATAATGCTAAATAATACACGTTGTAAAGTTAATGATTTAATATCTCACGGAAAGACTTTTTTTTTTTCAAATTCTTTACTATTTTTCATGTTTAAATCCAAACATGAATTGATATATAATAACATCTCTTTATTAAAAATTTAAATCCAAATACTAATTGATATATATATAATAACATTCAATAATAAGAATTTGACTTAACTGATATAATATTCTTGAAAACTTATATTTAATGCAATATTAATATGTAAATTCTACATATTTATTGTGAATTCAATATTATCATATCATTAATAAATAAATTTAAAATGTGAAAATTGTAAAAGTTATTAAATTTTCAATCTCTATCTCGATCTTGGTTATGTAAAAACAGATGACAAATCCACAAGAAGATGACGTCTTAAACGTGGATCATACGTAACAGTAATAGGCCAGCTAATGGCCCATGTAAGAATAACACGTGTCATGTGATAGACGGCCAAGATTGATTTCGTAGTCATTGTCCTTTGAATACGAGGGCGAAAGCATGAATGGCAGAATATAGTAATAATGAAAACTTGTTATGGAGTTTGGAAGAATTAATATACAGTTCACATTCAACAGTGCTACAATTATATTTACTAATATCTTACCCTCTCCATTGTGCCAGAAAATAGAAGAGAGACATTGAGAGTGAGAGAAGGGAAGATGAGCTTCTTGAAGATATACAAGTTTTTGTTACATGGGGTGTTGAAGCTAGCTGGGATAAGGCCCCACACCATAGAGATCGAGCCAGGGACGATTATGAACTTTTGGGTCCCAACTGAAACCATTAACAACACCAACACGAAAAGAAAAAAGCCTGCCGTAGTTTTCCTCCATGGCTTTGGCTTTGATGGTATTCTAACATGGCAATTTCAGGCGTTAGCTTTGGCCAAAGAGTACTCCGTTTACGTCCCGGATTTCCTCTTCTTCGGTGGTTCCATCACCGACAAGACGGAGAGGTCGGTGGAGTTTCAAGCCGAGTACATGGCCAAGGGTTTGAGAAAGCTGGGTGTGGAGAAATGTACCCTGGTGGGGTTGAGTTATGGAGGAATGGTTGGTTTCAAGATGGCGGAGATGTACCCTGACTTGGTTGAGTCCATGGTGGTGACCTGCTCGGTTATGGCCTTGACTGAGTCGATCAGCAATGCTGGACTTGAGCGAATTGGGTTCCCAAGCTGGGCAGATTTTTTGCTTCCAGTGTCAGTTAAGGGCGTTGAGACCCTCCTTCAAGTTGCTACTTACAGTTTCCCAAAGTTGCCTAATTGGATTTACAAAGACATTTTGGAGGTAATATAGTTTTAATTTTGTAATATTAATTTAAAGGAAAACTTTTCATTATTTGGACTAATATTCGATAGGACAAATATCAGTTATTTTGTTTGGTTGGATTTGATTACTACTTAATTTCATGCATAAACTATATATCTTTAAATTATTGGAAGTGGCATTCATGTTGAGAGCTAGGATATATTTTTAAGAAATTGTAATTCCTTTTTCTTTTTTTCTGTTTTCATAATTATTGTAGGGGATCTTTATTTACAGAAAGGAGAAAGTGGAACTCCTTGAGGCTTTGGTCATTAGTGACAAGGAATTTACCATTCCTTGTTACCACCAGGTAATTTAGCAACTAAGTAAGCAGAATATTGTTAATTATTTATTTCTCCTTCTTTTTTATCTGCCAAAATTGGGTGAAGTGTATTTGATAAGGTTGATAAAACTATTAATCAACTAATAGTTAAATTTAAAGTTAAAACAGTCAACTGTTGGATTTATCTATTTCATCTAATAGATGATCAACAGCATATTAAATGACCTTCATTTATAATTAATATGTATTTATAATAAAGTTGAAAACTCGATATCAACAAAAAATTTAAAGCATGTTTAAATTACTTGATTATATATTGATATGATATGTTAAAGAAAATTCGCCATTCAATTTTACCTTTTTAAGATAAAAAAATTCTCTTCAGTAATTATTAATCGTTCTGTTTTAAGTTAATTGTCTCTTCTTAAAAATTAATGTTCTGCCATTGTTTGTCACACTCTTCTGTAATAATCTTGTGACCCCTAAATATAATCTGCATTAACAAATAAAACAATCTTGTGATCTTATATATATATATCCTACAGTTAAATTAACAATTATAAAAATAAATCAGAATCAATTAAATTATAAATATCTTTCATTTTTAAGGATAAATGAGATATCTTTCATATTTTCCTAATTAAGTGTAACATATATATATCTTCATAAGATTTTGCAATTGACTTTCTATTTACTAGAGAAACTTGTATGTATATGTCTACCTGTCAACCGGTTGTAAGAAAGCAGGAGGCTTGTCACGTCTGTTATCATCAACAATATTCTTTTGACTAAAACAGAATTAATTAATTAATTTCATAAAACAAATAAACCTACTCCGCCCTTTTTAATATTTTCTAAAGGTCAACCTGCCATACACGACAATGATAGTTCATATGAATAAGGAAAATTAGGGTTGAACGAGGCCAGTTTGATTACTTGTTGCAGAGTATATATCTTTTGTGGGGGCAGAATGACGAGATTTTTGACTTGGACACCGCCCGCAACTTGAAACAGTACGTTTCGCTAATACCTAAACTGTTTATGAAGTTACATGCGTCTAATATATTGTTACTGCATGATGATGAGTTTAAATTCATTTTGACAGGCAAATCGGAGAAAAAGCAAGTCTAGAATACATAGAGAAATCAGGTCACCTCGTTCAATTGGAGCGACCATTCGTGTACAACAGCCACCTCAAGAAAATTCTTGCTTCCATTTGGTCAAAAGAGAGAAGTCATGCCATCGATGCATTTCCGCAGCCGAAAAAGGAGTGATCACCTAGTCTTCGGAATTGAATTTTATCTTGTTCACATATAGGCCAAATCAGCCACAATGACAGTTTCTACGGGTACCCTAGGTTTCCGCTGTCGGTAGGCATGATGCTTTTATGGTATATTTGCCCTGTTTTTCTATGCAATTCTTAATTTCTGGGTATTCTGTATCGATGATTCTGCGTTTGTACTTTGAATGAGTCTACGAGAGTACGTATCACTGCTCGTGTCGTTATTCTTCCTGGTATCTTTTTCGGACTTTTGGTTTGTTTTTATCTGCTTTTTTGTTGTCAAATTGAATATACTGTTAACAATTAATCAGGCATTTAAAATGTATACACTGCAATGAGAACTTTTCTACAGGTTTAATTAGTTCACAAGACAATTTAAGTTTAGCTCTCGTCTGATTCAGCACATACGTTCTGGGAGTTTCTTCTGCTCGAACCCAGCTCTGTCAAAAACCCATTTAAACTCAACATGTCCGGAAGCGATTCTACCACGTGGCCCTCCAACTGGCTACAAACAGGAGTGTTCATACTTGGCTGATCTGAGTTAGTTTGCAGTTCGAAGAATGAAAAATTTGACTGATTTGGATTGAAATAATTGGGTCTTGGACTATGAATCTGATAGCAATTAATAAGGTTGCAAAGATTTATCGATTTTGAATTTTTTTTTTTGGCTTTAAACCAAATAGTGAACACCCTCATGTTCGTTACACTTGTAATCCGACAAAATGTGTGATCGTGGCTACGAAATTCATGTTCTTCTACTCTACTATATGTTCTGAAATATCTGCCAAATTGATAAAGTAAAGAGAGAGAGCAAAAACGGGTGAACTCCTTGAAGATGTACCCCAAGCCCTTGCCGCATTGGCTGATGAAGCTAGCGGGAGTGAGGCCCCGAACCATTGAGATCGAGCCAGGAACAGTCTTGAACTTTGGGGCCCCAAAGGAAACCACTACCAAGAGAAAAAGATACAAACCCGTTGTGGCGTTCCTCCATGGTTGTTGTTGACAAATAAGCTCTGCTTGCAAAATAAGGAGCAAGTTCCAACTTCAGCACATTTCTGTTGAGCATATGCCTGGGCGTTTAAAGGCTAAACGTCGAGTCCTGTATTAATTTAGTCCATTTAGATTATCCGCCAACAGAGTAGAGCTAGTTAATTTTTATTTAGAGATCAAGGATTAAGAAGAATAAAAGTTAAAATTTTTAAAATTAATATATTGAACTTAACATTAATAATAAAAATTTTTATAATAAACAATAATTTTATATAACGTATAAATTAAAAGAAACAAAAAGAAAAAACTTATAATAGTGCCCTAAGATACTTTTGTTCTATGATGGCAGTATTTTTTTTAATATAAACAACTAAATTATTTATAAAAAACTTATCATCTATTTTATTCAAAATCTTGCCTTTCTCAATATAAACAACAAAAAAATGAATATAGTCAATATCTAATATTTTTATTTTATTATATTTAAGTTTATAATACTAAATATTAAATTATAATGTATAAAATATAAATAGCTAAATATGATATACAGAATTAATAATTTTTTCTTATACTCAAGATAATTTTCTTTCAACTAAATATAAAATATAAAGCACATTAAAAACATATACTCAAATTAATTTTTTCTTATATAATTAAGATTAAAAAAAATTAATATATTAATGAAATTTTAAATAACAACCAATAATGTAATACTAGAACTTATATTTGAGAATTACATATACAATAATTTTTTAATTTTTAAAAATTAAAATTATTAAAAATAAAATTTACATAACAAAAAAAAACTATGATAAGTAGGAGATATAACTTATATAACAAAAAAAATAATTGATAATTCGTAAAAATTTAAAAAAAATCTATAAAAATTTAAAATATATGAGCAAATAGAATATAATTAAAAAAATAAATAATAATATTATAAATAAAAAATTAAATAAAAATTTTACCTTTTTATAATTTCATAATACAAAGACAAAAAAGAAAAAAAAAGATAGGTGGAAGAACTTAAAAAATAAAAAAAATTAAAAATTTGAGTAAAATTGATTATATTAATTATTTAGTATATTAATTATTTGTAACATTATTTTATTATTTTTAAATTATATTAATTGTTTAATAAAAAT